TATTGTGCCATAAGTATCAAAATTGAAAGAAATGTGACAAAATAATTTCAATTCACAGAATATTTCACTCGCAAGCTACAATTACAGGTTCCATGGCAGTAGAGGTGTCTCTGTCACACATTTCAGGACCAATGTTTACAAATCCTTCCCCCTGCATTATTACATTAGATGTAAACAGATGTATGCACGAAAATTTTCCTTGACTGGACTATAGAGAGTCAAGTACCTTTGCAATATTTCTGAAATATGTTGTCGTGTAATTCCCTGACGGAAATAAAGCCTCAATAAGATCAGCAAGAACTAGTTGAGGCTGAGAGATAGCTCCGTCATACCAATCTTCCATAGCATCAGCAGTAAGTAAAATGGAAAATATTATCAGAAAATGTCAGGAAGTTTAAAAAAATAAAAATAAAAATGAAATCATTTCAAGAATTTTGCTGATATTCATTTATTTGTAATCCGCAACTGGCCTATAGAAATGCTGTAACTTACCAAGAGCAGTTGAATTTCCAATTCTTTTATCGTATCTCCATAAGCTTTGATTAGCAACAAAAGCAAAGCAAGATTGATCTTCCACATTTAAATTTTCAAGAAAGGTAGAGGAAGTGTAGGCTACTGGATCAGAAGTGTAGGTTTCATCAATCACCACTTCTACAGTCTAAGCAAAAGGAAATTTGTTTAATATAAGTTTACAAGCATGCGAAGAAATCAGAGAAAACCCGATCCCGCCTAACATTAGGAAAGATACAAGAAACACATCGACTTACGCATAGAATTGCATGAAAAGCATCCAAGTCATCAGGTATAGAGATGTTATATGTAACTTTATTGATGGAGTTATCAATATTCTCTCCACCTGCATCCTCCACATACTGCATGCAAAGTTAAGTAAAAATAAATAAATAAATAAATAAAAAATAAATTATATTAAATCTAAAATCCTAAATTTAGGAATTCACAAAGAAATGCTGTAAATTGAGGAATTCACGAAGAAATTCTCCACTCGAGTAGATTACCTTTAGCTTGTACGGCTCTTTTGTGAAAGACCAGACACCCTACAACAATGAAATGAAGGCCTGTGAATACAAGCTCGGAAATAAAAGTTTTGCAAGATTACTCGATTTCACTAACATTTTTATTATTACAAAGTTATAATTTCCGATTTCAATTAACAGACTTGAATAGTTACATT